AATTATTTAAAATAGATCTATTAAATTATATACTGTATTTGTATGTTCAATTATTCACAGTTTACCTTAACAACATTTTATGCGTGAATAAAAATAAAACTGAGACAAAAAATGAATAAACTAATTTTTAAGATTTTTTTTTTGTTTTGATTAAAATGCCTTTTTAACATTAAATTAGGGAAATAACATCCAAACTCTAACAACAATATTTCCTAATTACTTATGACTTAAATACAAACTGAGTGGTTTTTTAATATTAAGCATAATTTTAACATTTACAAGAATGAATAAAAGATCCTTAATAGACCTTCGAATATAATTTATTTACGAGGGAAAAATTTAAATTTCAACATTGAACTAATATAATAAAAATTATTATTTATCATACTTCTTTTGAATATAAATGTTGATATTTTAGTTAAATAATGTGTGTGCTAAAGTAAATTCTTGTAGTCAGCAACAGATATAATGGTTGGTATATATATTTATTATTACTTAAAGCTTATTGAAAATTAAAATAAATTAACAACATTTAGTAAACCAAGGAATTGTCATCATAAAATTTAAAAAAAAATCAAAAGGCATGCACATTAAATATTCTTGGGGAGACATTTAGATTCACAACAATTATTGTTCAATAGAAAATTTAAGTACAACTATTATCAATGTTATAGAATATAGATAATACATCTTTGAGCATTTTATTAATGCCATGAATTTTATTGAAAATGTTTTAAGTTGACTGGTCATTTTAATAGAACGTTTTAGCTGGTTAATTAATATAATGCCAGATTCGTCGCAGGCAATGTGAATCTTCAATAATAATGTAAAATATTTGTACATTTCAATTATGTTCTTAGATTTATAGTAAATTTAAAATAACATTGAGAATTATTAAGAAGTAACATCAATTTGTGGAATAAAGTTCAATCTAAGCTAAATTTCTTATTTTTATTTATTTATTTATTTAGTTTGTTACTTCTTCCTTGGCCAGTAATAAAACATACAATTCTCAAATTATTGAGAATTAATATCAATTTGTAGAATAAAATTCAATCATAGCTTAGTTTCTTATTTTAGTTTGTTACTTCTTCCTATGTCCGTAACAAAACATAAATTTCAAACAAACAATAAACATCTAATTAGTATAATACACCCATTACATTCATCTGAATAATATGAATGCAGTATTCAACTCCAATAGTTGAATAATATATTATTATACATTATTCCAAAAAAGAAAATTAAACAAAGTAAAATTAATAGCGTAATGAACCATAGGTTTAATTTCATTTAAAAGCAATTACAGATATGAAAACATTATAATATTATAATAAAGTAAGTAATATGAAATGTGCCGCTTCACCTCTTCACAATGTTAGAGATTCCATCAACCACAAAATTTGATCCTTTTCATCCTGTAAAATAATTAAATAGTATCATAATAGTTAAAAAATATTAAATGTTGAATTTTGAATTAATTTTTATAAAATTATTTAAAAATAAAAAGCGTTCAATATGCAAAATTCAAATAACAGTTTTAGTTTCAGACTAATAATAAACCAATACATATTTGAATGAAAAAAAATTGATATTCTAGTTCAGATTTGAGTTTTGAATATCATATATTTTAACATTAACACGTAATATATTTATTGAATTATCATTAAACTATTATAACAAATGAACATTGTAAATTAAATAATTTTTTAAATGTTTATTTCATTACTTTTGGAAAACCAATACATATTTCAATGAAAAAAATTGATATTCTAGTTCAGATTTGAATTTTGAGTATCATATATTTTAACATTAACACATAATATATTTATTGAATTATCATAAAATTATTATAACAAATGTACATTGTAAATTAAATAATTTTTAAAATGTTTATTTCATTACTTTTAGTAAAGTATTGAAAATTTATTATTTTGTGGATTTGACACTTTATTAAAAAGAAAAAAACTATGTTTTACTGTAATTATGTAAAAAGATCATTAATTTACTAGTGATTTAGTATTTGCTTCAAGAAATAGTGTATTATACCAATACTAAATAAAGTGAATTTATGTTATATGTCTCTGTAACTGTATTGAATAATTTTAAATTTTTGTGCTCAAAACTCACCCAGGGAATACAAATAGCCGACATTCTCTCAATTGTATATCAAATTTACACTCACTAACTACCCCCCTTATCACCCTTCAGTTTTATCGAAATGATAATTCTAATTAACATGTATGCACTATATTGTAGTTACTATGCTGTAGCTATACTACAGCTATCATCTATTAATATACCTTATCTCTTTTCCTTTTTTCATTATATTATTTAAAACTATATATAAAATATAACCAACTATGACTCAAAATAACTAACACAAGATTGTGTTTTGTAAAATTGTTTAAACTTGTAATAGCATGAAATATGCTGACAAATATTAAATAAAAAATATATTTTTTTATGTTAATAGATTTTTGTATAATTAGCAATTGGACAGTTGTGGGTTTTTGATTCGGTGCATATATCGCATCCTGTATCCGGTGAAATTTTTTCAAGACCGACAGGCTTAAATATTATATGTTTTTCAGTTTTAAAAGATACACTAATATTATTATTAACTACCAAATATATTCCTAGTTTACCAACTTCAGGTGACTATACATCACCAATTGTACTAACTATTTTATCTATTAATTTAAAATTTAAAGTTGTCTTTCGAGCATTTTACCTATTATGTATTCCATTTCACCGCGAGACTAATATTTTTATTATTGAAACCTAACCTGTGTCTGTTGGCAACCCACATGATAGACGGTTTGCTTAATGAAGTTGTGATACACAATTCAATACATTTAAGTGTTTAAGTCGACAAAGAAGTCATTTAGTTGTTATTATAATTTTATAAATAAGAAATGCATACAATATTTTACCAGTTTTTTAGAAAAAACATGTTATACATAAAAAAAAATTAATTAATTAATTGGATACAACATTAGTTAATGATTTGGTAATTTTCTTTGAAAATAAATGGAAATTTAATGAATATAACATAATCAGAATTTAATAACTAGTTTTCATAAAATAAACATTTTGGTTTAATTTGTACTCAATTAGAATATGCACACTATTCTGGTCTTCTAGTCCTATACTTACTCAACATCTCAAAACTATAATATATACTTTCTTAAGATTACTTTTTTTAAATACAGAGCAAAAAGATAACGTCATACTAGTTATGATGGAATTCTAGGTTTTGTTTTAATATGAATTCCTTAAAAACCCACAGAAAATTATAAATTTAATGATTTTATTTAATCTACTCAATTATGAAATGGATTGTAGCTGTTTAATAGAGACATAATTAAAATAAATGCTAAAAACTAGTTAATAATTTATTTTTCTTTCAAAGCATACATTATAATTATCAAATTTATTACCAGAAAATATGATAGTGTCATAAGATTATTCTTTTAATTTAGATATTTTTTATTATAATATTAGGTAATATTAAAACAATAGTGTAGTTTAATTTAATTTTACAATGTTATTATTTAATAATAACTAGCTGATCCCGTGCACTTTGTTTCCCGTTAAATGTACAAATTCTATATGACTCAAACTTTGTTCAATTCGTTATTTAGTTATTTAACATTCGGTGTATGGTGTTAACGAATGACGGCAACGAATAATTATTATTATAATAGCTTTAAAACCCATGGCAACCATTTATAAACAAAAATATCCACCGTAAATCTCAACATTCCCGTTTGAGCACCTCCCCGAAATAGGCCTACCGGGTCCGATTATGAATCTAAACCATTCAAGGGCGCAATCAAGCACACACAAAAAATTTCATCAAAATCGGTGAAGCCGTTTAGGAGGAGTTCGCTTACAAACACTTTCAATTATTATTATTATTTATATTATATTTTTATTTTTATTTTTATCTGCTAGAGGGCGCCACCGGTGTAACTCAGTTTTTGTCTCTAAATCTCTAACTCACATGAGTTAGGTCCATAATTTATGGTATAAACCCGCTCCCCGACATTCTCTATCATTTAAAAAAAATTTGAGCAAAATCGGCCCAGCCGTTCTCAACTGATGCAATTTCAAATTTTTTGTCTCCATTTTTATATATATAGATTATTATTATTCATATTACGTTCTCTGTATTTATACATACTTTATAATGTACCTGTTATATATTTACACAATATTTGTAAATTCATTTTTTCAATTATTAATAACTATGGCTAGGATTTTTATGTATTTGCATGTTTTTTCCTTGAGTAAAAATTGATTGGTTCTCAGATATGTCTACAATTTGAATTATTCTCGATTAAATAACAATTTAATAATAATAATAAAATAAGCAAAACATAACAACTTGTGTTTTGGATATTTTGAACATAATACATCTGATAAGCATAATTTGATTTTTGAAAATTGCATGAAATTTTTTATGTTATTTAACTGATGAGAATGTCTACAATTGTTGGGTTATTTGTTGAATTGTTGTAAATTTACTATCTAATCTTATCTTGGTTAGGCGAAATGTAGTCCGATAAGCGATAACATATACATTATTTTTTACTTTCATTATTACGACAAGTTTTAGTCAAACAAATCCATTGATCGTTACAATTGCCGGTCATTTGTGTTTTAACGTTTGAAATAACATAATATTAAATTTATTAAAAAAATATGAAATGTTATGTAGAAATAAAAGAAAAATTGTTTTTAGCATATTTTGATAAATAAAATGCATATTTTACAATTTTTTATTGACCTACAGTATTTTTTTGTCACATTATTGAAAAAAAAGAAATCCTAATTCTTTACAAATGCTATGAAAAGCACTGTACTACACTAAGTTTAACGGAATACAAATATGATTTATAAATAGACAATTTTGCTATCTTCTTCAACAATTTAAATCAAATATTGATTTTTATTTTTTGCACATAATTTAAAAAATCAAGTATTGCTTATTATTAATTATAAGCCAAAAACCAGTTGACATAATATCTTGCCTGATAATCTGATTCATTTGAATATGAATCGCGTAATGATGTCAATGCTGGCTTGAAATCCACAAACGAAGTGCATATTTCTTTGACTTTTGCTGGTGACATACGGATCAATTGATTCAATGTCGATAAAAATAACTCGTGATGACTTGGTTCAACATTTTTTTCCATGCCCATGATTATCGAACTTATAATTTCAACAACACCATTATCAACATACATTTCTGTAAATATTATTCATATTAAAAATTACTTCCATAGCAATGTAATAAGAATAGTAACTTACCCGCTACATCGTTACCCATATGAGAAGTTGAGCAAATTATGAACACTGCTTTAATTTTCAATTTTTCAATGGGAGCTTTCAATGAATTGATAATCAAATCTTTACCTCCAAGGTCAATAAATTGCCAAAAAACAGTTATGTTTTCACGGATCAGACCTAAGAATTTAAAACAATAAACAATTAAAATATGTCAACATAAGTAGGTTACAATTATATTGATTACAACGTATTTGTGACTCACTGGAAATCGCAGCTAGTGCTTTGATACGCACATCATCGTTTGGATCGTTTTCCACCATAGAAATCAATGCTTTCGGATACTTTGTATTTTCCATAAACTTTTCTTGACAGTATGGATTATGCTGAACCAACTTAGCGATCAGTTCGCACATCTTGACGCGCACAGTTGGATGCTCGGAACGGATACACGGTAAAAAGATATGGAAACCGCCAAGCTTTTCAAAATCTGAAAAATAATTAGTTAGATTCATATACTCAAAAACAAGTTTATAAAAAAATTAAATAAAACATTGGTAACCATTAGCATAATCAATATTGTCAACATATTCTGCAATAACATCAAACGCAAATTCATGTTCATCCACTTGTTTGTTATTGTCAAACAAAATATTAATAGAATTGTTCATTTCCTCGTGTACATTGACTGACATGGTAGACAAAACATTTGACAGAAACTTCTTCCTCTAAAAACATAATAAATAAAACAGTAAAATATTAACTGCAAAGTAATAAACCATATTATAGGTACCTACTTAATTTATAAGTAGGTTGGTGTTTGGTTGGAAAAATACCCAATGGAAAACCGTTTTATACCACGGAAATATTAAATGCCTACCATTTGAACACAATAACAAAAATACATGATACAAAATTGTGAACAATGTAGGTAGGTTAAAAATGTTTAGAACAAAGTTCCCTCCAAAATTATGGCCTGAATTTAAGCCTTCAACAATATGAACTATAAACGCATGTGAATCCTTTCATTCATACTTCAGTTCTATGTTTTATTCTGCTTACCTTATCCAAATATTTTTCAATTTATCTACACACATTTTTAAGTAATCAACATATAAGTAGGTATATTAAAAATAGTACCAGCCTCTAGAAGTTAAAAGAAGTAATTGGGCGATAACCAAGGAAAATTTCATAAAACAAAAAATATTAGAAACCATTAGGTACCTACCTACTACATAGTTAGTACCTACCTTTTTTTTAAAAATTTTTTTTTATGTATCCAAGTATAAATGTCTACCCAATGTTTTTTTCTCAAATTATTTAGGTAGGTAGTTAGGTTAGATAGGCAGGTAGGTGCTTATAAAAATAAATGTATGAAGAGTTTTGTGATTTACAATCGTTTGTTAGAATATGGTTGAATAGGTAGGTAAGTACTTACAAACTTTCTGGTTAATATAATAAAATTACAATACCTAGGTAAGTACCTAGTTGAGTAAAAAATGTATAATAAACAGATTTAATAAATTCAGGCCTAAGTCTGTAAGCACGTTGACAGACGGTCATAATAGGTAATATAAGTCGCAACGTGACTGCTATAACGGCAAGTAATATAACATTTAAAAGTCGAAAAGAGCGGTTGCGTTTCCTACGGCATCACCACGTTGAATGCGTGATCAGCGTCCAATTGTGAGATTGTGACTTGGGTACTAACCAGTCGAGCAAATCTATTGGACAGGTAAGTGATCAGAGTGAATAGCAAATGTTGACCGCCGTCGGAGCAGTGAACGGCGTGTTAAAATGAGATGTCACCTTTTTTTTTTTCTGGTACCCAACTACGACCCACCCGCACAGAGAGTTCATCTCGGCGACCGTTACGCTAGCAACGCGAGTAGGCGCCAACCGCTGTTATACTCACTTCCTCGCTGAATGTGAGCGCGTCTTGATGAATGTTCATCGGCATCCCGTCGGCCAGGTCGCTGGCGTACCTGAACATGTCCTTGTAGTTGCGCACCCTGTTCGGGTCGCAGATGCCCGACGCGACGGCCGCGTCCTCCTCGGCGGCGCGCTCGATGACCATCGACGACGGCCCGTGGTCCATCAGGTCGATGATGTTGCCGGTGCCGCGTATCGCGTCGATGATGGCCGGGTGGCCGGAGGTGCTGCGCATCTGACGGCGGTGATAGTTGTTGCGGCGGCGGCGGCGGTGGTGATTGTCGTCGATGGCGTCCAGGTCGATGATCTCGTCCTCGTTGATGATGTGGTGCCCGTGAGGCGGCGGCGGCATGATGACGGCGGGCGCCGAGTCGTCGTCGCTGGACGACGACGACCCGCCGATGTGGTCCTCCATGTGGCGGCGGAACGACGTGGTTGCGGCTGGAATCGACGGCGGCGTGCGTGAGCGCGTGTCGGGCGGCTTGCGACGAGTGACGGCTCTGGCGGCGGTCCGGCGGACGGTCGGTCGGTGTGCTCGGTGGGCTGTGCGGCCGCGCCGAAATCTGTAACTATTCGCCGACGCGGAGTATCGGAAGGAAAATCGATACCGAACGAGAGTCGGTGGCGGCGGCAGATGAAGCTGTGAGCGCAGCGGCAGAGGAGAGGGGCGGGAGAGCGGACAGCATGCGGTCTGCGTTACGCGTCGGTTTCGGATCGACTCGACCGTACTCGACAGTCGACGGAAGTCGTCGTTGAAATAATTATTGTAACAATAATGTGCGACTCGTGTTATGGTGCGCCGCCGCCGCCGCCGCTGCGATCAACAGGCCGGGCCACGCGCCCGCGCGCGCGCGCTCTATCGTTATCAACGACGACGACGACGACGACAACAGTACGACGAACGTAATTATTACAATATTATAAATTTTTATTATTTCTGTTTGTTGTCCGCAATGACGGTATTAATATTGTTATTAATTTCGTTCGATGACGATTTTAAAATTTTAATCTTTTTAATAACATCGTTGTGTTATCGTTGTTGTTGCGAGTTGTTGTTGCTGTTATCAGCTGCTGCGGCGGCGGCTACTGCCCGTTTTCGTTTTCGTCGAAAACGATGTTTTACGGCGACGTGTACGTCTTGCCTCTCGCTCGGTTTTCGTTTACCGTCACCGGTCGTCCGCGACTGCGTACTCAAAACATACTATACTTGTAACAATACCGATATTGATCGATGCGCTTTCGTGACTAGTTCAGGCGGTTGACGGTACCACCGAATATTATTACCTATTTACCTATCACTTCGGCAGCTGTATCGCTATCGTGTTTTATTGCTACCTACGGGCTATCCAGTAGCGATCATTTATTAATATTATAAATTAATATTTCGATCGCAGTTTCGTGCAGAAATAAAATGCCCACTTAGATTCTGCCGATATGAATTTTAGGGCTCGGAACTTCATTCGCTTAATAAAGTAGGTCATAGGTGTGCGCACGGGGGGGGGGGGATTGTATCAATATTGATATGAATAAATAAATCGAATAATTTATTTTGATGCACTGCTTGACACTTTGAAGGTATAGGTAATATTGGTAGATACCAGGCAAGCCCTCAGATAAGTACCTAACTAGACGAAAAATATTTTTATTGACAATATTTCCATGGGGATCTTTGCCCACCATACCCCCCCTCCCATTCCCTATCCATCTTTATGATGAATTTTTAATAATATAAGGATTCATAATTTTTATTGATTACCTAATAATAATTAGTCAATTAGATTCTTACCTGCATGATGGTCAATATAAATTGGTTATTAACATTGTAATATAAAATAATATTAAATGTTTTGAAAAATATAACATTTGTTGAACAAGCCCAAATTTTATTGACACCTACATTAGTTTCATTTTTTACATTACATCCAAGTAGAGCTTTGGAGATACAGGAAATGTATTTTTATTTTATGTAGCACATAGATTTTTTTTAACTAGTTTATTTTAAAATTTTAATCGCAATTTTCAGCATTAAATGTACTTATTGTTTTACAACGCAATTAAAATATGAATATACCCAATCGGATAACAATACAATAAACAGTCATTTCAACTTTTTTTTTGTTGGCGGCAAAATGTTTGCAGGCCATTCATTTATTTTTTTTTTTATTTTTGGAGTGGGAAGTGGGGACTAAAACTTTAGAATATTTGTATAATTTATTTAATATGTCACTTATATTAGTATGAAAAAATCAGTATATCAGTACATGTTATGCGATGAGCTTGTATATTGGCATGCTTGTGGGTACACATATTATAATTTAATTAATATAATTATAAATGGACGGCGTTCGGGAAAAAGGGTACAAGTCAAATTTAACAACTTTTCAAGAGAAGAAAAAAACTGATTAGGTAGTTCTCTTTATTTTGGCTGAATGGTAACGGATGTATTTTTAATTAATTAAACTATTTTTATTATAATTTAAAATTATATAGTCTTAATGAAAAAGTTAATTTTATAAATTATAGATGACCTATTTCACTAAAATTGCAAGGTACATATTGTAATTTTGACTGAATGTTTATATTAGCATTTTCTATACACCAAAAGATTTTCCAATTCTTTGTGGACATTTTCAGTTTCCATTTTTTTTAGTTTTTCTTTCTATAAATATCAATAAAATTTTATTTGTTGTGTACAAAAGCTTAACAATTTAATAGAAGGGTCCTAATATATTGTTTCAAAGACAGATGAAAAATATTAAAAATCCATAATCACAATTTTTTTTTTTAAGCATTTCAAGTTCAAATATTGACAAAATAAGTAAAAATGACAAAAATTTACAAATTATTTTGAGTTAGAAATTCATAAAAAATTTTCTTTTTAAATCTAAGATTTGAAAATGTGATATAAGATACCTCATACATTTGTCTACCTTTATCAAAAATAAAAATGTCTACAAGAAAGACAAATTAAATTTTTATGAGCGTTTGAAATTTATATTTTTACACTATCGGATATTCACTTGATTTCTCATGTAACAATTTTCTTATTATGTTGTATTTAAAAAACAAATGACTGTAGGTACTTGAAAATTTCAATAAATGTTTATATTAGCATTTTCTATACATGATAAAATTTTGAAAATAATTTGATCCTTTTTAAGTTGATTACAGATATTGTCAGTTTTCAATTTTTTTAGTTTTTTTTCTATAAATAACAATAAAATTTTATTTGTTGGGTAAAAAAGCCTGAAAATTTAATGCAAGGCTCCTCATATATTGTTACAACAGCAGTTGAAAAATATTAAAAATACATAGGCACAATTTTTTTTTATAAGCATTTAAATTCGAATTTTGACATAATTTATCAAATTTAAAATGTAATAATTATTATGTAGTTAAAAATGTATGAAACGTTCAACTTTTATAGCTAAGGCCTAAGGATTGAAAATGTAAAACAAGGTTCCACATAAATAGGTTATATATAAATTACTTTATTCACAATAATATCATAATATACACTGTGGCCCACTTGTAACCTACTGTACGCAGAGAATTTTTTTTATTTTGATTATTTAAATTTTTGTGTCTGTCATCACCAATTACTGCAGTAAAAATGCTTGGATTTTCTTCAACAGTATCTGTTCTGAGAGGAAAGTGAATCTTGTTGGTACTTTGAGGGGTCAAAAGTAAAAAAATTTCAGTAGCTTTCAAAAGCGCTGTGAAAAACAAAAGAAAAATTAAAGAAAAACAGGAATTTGTACGCAAAATCTGTTTTCGAAAAAATAGTTTTGGTTTTGGCGCAAAATCTGAAACAAATTACTGTAAGTAGATGAAATGTTGACTGTATATTTATATTACCATTTGGCATTTCTATCAGCCATAACATTTTCCAAATATTTTTACTTATTTTGAGCTGTTTCTGACATTTTTCAATTTTTTTAGTTTTTTTTTCTATAAATATCAATTAAGTTTTATCTGTTTTGGCAAAAAGTGTAAAAATGTAATACAAGGCTCCTGATATATTGTAACAATATCAGTTGAAAAATATTTAAAATACATAGGCACATTTTTTTTTTTTATAAGCATTTAAAGTTCAAAAATTGACAAAATATGGAAACATCACTAAAATAACAAATTATTTTGAGTTAAGATATCGTAAAAATTTTTCTTTTTAAATCTAAGATTTGAAAATATAAAACAAGATTCCACGTTAGTAGTTAATTCTGTTACCAAAAAATCTAAAAACTACATTAGCACAGTTTATTTTTATATTAATTTTAAATATAATAGGTAAATATAATAAATTCCAAATTAATCATATCACAATATCCATTAGGTACCTACTTATAAAGCATTATACATCAACAACAAACCCTGATACTATCATAGATATATAATAGTGTACTTTAGAAGTTTCAAGTACGCACGAATAATATTATACAATCACAACAAAATAACTAAAATACTTCTAGGTTTTTAATATGTAATTTCGTCCAAATTTGAACTTAAAATGACTATAAAAATAAACTGTGCTAATGTAGTTTTTAGATTTTTTGGTAACAGAATTAACTACTAACGTGGAATCTTGTTTTAAATTTTCAATCCTTAGATATAAGATTTAAACATTTTATACATTTTTAACTACAAAATAATTATTCAATTTTAAATTTGATAAATTTTGTCAAAATTTGATCTTGAAATGCTTATAAAAAGAAATTGTGCCAATGTATTATAAATATTTTTCAACTGATATCGTAACAATATATCAGGAGCCTTTTATTAATTTTTTACACTTTTTGTCCCAACAGATTTAACTTCATTGATATTTATAGAAAAAAAAAACTAAAAAATTGAAAACTGAAAATGTACAGCAGAGCACCTTTTTTCAATGTTTTTAAGTAATCTTACAGTAAAATCACCTATAACAAAAAAGATAGAGAATAATATTTTAGAGGGAATGATACATATTATCGATTTTATATTTTATTGTTATTTGACTTTGTATTCGATTTTCAAAATAGGTAAACAAAAAAATGTTGACGTTTAAATTGTATTGAAACATTATTTAGACAAATTGACCTGTCATTACTTCAAAAATATTATTCTCAATCTTTTTTTGCAACGGGTGATTTAAGATTTTACTCTAAAATTAGGTACTTAAGATCATAGAAAAAAACGATTTTGTGCAAATGCTTTTTGTCCATGTTGCATAGAAGACAAATAGTGCGCTGACATCCTCTTAATTCACATCTTTGCCGGTAACATATTATACAAGAATTATACAACCATTAAACATTAAATTATTTGGGAAACTTATATAATACCTATAATAATATAGTAGTCCATTATAATTATGCTCTAATTGAAGAAATTCTAAATAAAATCATTCAATATAATTGTTATAGTGTTATATTT